TCCTGCCATGCTGGGCAGAGTTGCAGCTTTCTCTAGAATAGATCCCCTACTTGTGTTTCTAACACAGGAAAAGAAAGTGAAAGCATGATGGAAAACCACTTAGGCATAAGTAATAAAGGAAAGTTGACTCTGACTTATGATTTCTGCTGAAGTGGAGCTGTAGTTGTCCATAATTATTTCAAGATGATGAATTCAAGTTGAATGCAGAAAAAAAGAGGTAGTGGGTAGGTGGCCTCCATCTCATCTTAATCTGATCATCAGAATCTGAGCTAAACCCTAGTGACATACAAACTTGGGGGAGCGTGAGTACCTGGGGGCTGTGTCTGGCTGTCCCAGTGCCAGGGCTCCTCTGGGTTCCTGTAGGGCTCATGGCACCAGAAAGCTCTCCAAGAGCTGCTGGAGGCCTGTCATTCAGGTCCTCTGACTGCAGTTACCACAACCAAGTGAGCAGAGGGTGCAGAGTGTGAGGGAGCAGCCACTGAACTGTCCAGGTGCTCAGTGGCGGTGAGTACATTCAGCCTGCATAGCTTGGTGGGATTTGTACAGCTGCACTGAGGAGCAGCCTGACAAACCTTGTACTGACTTCTCCGTTACTGAGCAGATCCTGCACCAGGCAGATAGGTGTTTGAAAGAAAGCAATTAGGCAAAGCAGCAATTCTAGCTCCAGCATATATACATATCTATTCATATGTGAATAATGGCATAAGTAACTCTAGCTGTCTTCTGGGAAATTACACTCCTTTTCTATTTTACTAGCTAATAACTTTCTGACAACTAAGTCATCAAACTACAGCAAAATAATAGTAAAATATTTTTAACAGTGAATATTTTAGCTAGTGTCTGACAATGCGTACTCACTTGCTTTCATTGGAAAGATTATTTGCCCAAGAACAATTCCACTAGAAGAAAGAAATAGACATTTCTGTCATTCTAGAAATACCTGAAAGCAAGGGGAAATAAAAGGAAAGGAGAGATAAAATGGGATAGACTTAGAAAATAGAGTATTTCAGTAGCATTAACTGCAGATATTCTATATGTAGATTCTAATCCCCATTTTTTTTTTCTTAATGGCATACAGCAAATCTACAGCAAATGTTCTGAAAGCATTTTATTAAACCCAAATGCATAACGACCAGTATTGTCAGTTATGAAGGAATTTAATAATTTGAAGTCTAGTGGCAGATAAACCCAAAAGCTAAGAAGTAACATATCTAAATATTAATTTTGCTGTATGTTTAAGTTTGCTTGTTGTTATTGCACATATATATGCTTTCTGCTCATACCTGTTCCATACAGAAAACCTTTTGCCATCCTTGTTCCTGAAAAGCAACTTGAGTCACATTACTAGTTCAAATTCAGGTTTGGTCATTTACTCACATTATTAAACGCTGGTGTTTATTAATAAAGACATTTGGAACATTTCCTTGCTTAGTATATTTGTGCACACTTTGAAATCTTCTAAAAACTAACCACTGTCTGTAGCTTCTAGATGTGCAATTTTTCAGTGCACTGCTAAAAAAAATAAATACTGGAACCATGGGACAAAGAAGAAACTGGGTTTCTCCTCAGGCTCTGCTACATAGCCAACACACAGCTTGAGGCTGTGTTTTGGCACTTTTTCTCCAATGGAAGAGCACCTCAGTGCTCATACTGGTGAGCCTGCCTCCCTGGCAAAGGGCCACTGTGCAAAAACAAGCACAAACAAGGATTTTGGCCGTTAATGTTTCTGCCCTGTGAGCAAAAAGATGCTTGGGGTCTGATTTGTTTGTTTTCCTTTCCATGATGGCAAGTGCTGTACAAATACTGAATATGATGACACACTTCCCAAGTAGGCAAGTAAATAAGCTTAGTAATTATAGCTTTGGCCTAGCGTGCCATTACTCTGGACAGTCATAAAGAAGGAAAACAGTTGCTCTGCAAAGCTATAAAATTAAGGGAGGGGACATCAGAGAGACGTAGCAAAGAGTTAATTCCCAGGGAGGATTGTACACAGCCTGAAAAGCATGGCACACTGCTTATCTAACCACCACTGTAGTTGGCATTGCAGAAAAGGACAATTTCCAGGTCAGATAAGGGGAGAGATTAAGATGTAGCTCAGTGAATGTTCTCAGAGGCCTGCTTTCCTTCCATATATAGTGTCATTAGCAAAATCCAGGAGGGTCAGTAGTGTTGCCACATTCCATACAGGTGGTTGGACCGTGCAGTGTGCCACAAAATACTGCAGCTAAGAGAAGCCCAGTGCCTTCTGTACCAAGATGAATATTGCATTAAGGGGGATTTTTCCATTGGCAATATGAGTGGCTGCCTCCTAAAAAGCTGATCATGTTTTCCCTAATCTCTTCCCTTGAGGAGCTGCCTGAAGAAGTAGAGCAACAGCAGAGTAAGCATAAACTTTGCCTAGGTCTTTGCTCCATTCATTGTTGTGCTAGTTGCTAACAAGTTAGTACAACCAGGTTTTGTGCACCTGGGCAATTACAGTGCTGGTCATGTGGTTTTATATAGCTGCAAGGCCACTGGAGGAATGACCTGGACAACTCTCCTCTTTTACAGGATTTAATTGCTTTAGCATTTCCTTACCACCTCCAGATGCGGGACATCAGTGAAATTAAACAAAATTGCAGACCTCCTAGAGGTCTGTAGTGAGCTCAACAAATTGTCTAGTGTTAGTCATGGGTCAGTGTTACAGCCTTTTCCAAAAAATTAGTTTATGTGTTTACATTATCTTAACTGTAACCTAGTTGGTTTTTTTTTATTATTTTAAAATGTATTTATTTTTTTTAATGGAAAAGGCCACTGAGTAATTAATATAAATTTGCCAAGACAATGTCAGAGGATTAATATTGTCTAGATTCAAAATATGTAAGGATTATTAAAGCTCTGTATTGTGTAAAACTGAAGGGAATTGAAGGAAATGTTCTTCTGTAAAAGATTTTAATAACAGCTATGATTGTCTTTTGTTATTTAGCTTGCTGCTGTGCCTGCAGGCCTTCCTAAACTCTTTCTGTACAGACACAGTGTAAGGAAGTGTTACAGCTCACTGCTTCATTGTGACAGGATGAAACAGTTTGGTGAACATCACTGATGGACCAGGGAAAAGAGTAACAGGAAAGGTCTCCTGTTGCAGCCTTTGTTGCTGTCTTGCCAGTAGTTTAATGTTCTTGTCAGAAAGACTTTCTTCAGCCTTTGTGAAGAACTGTGTATCTCAAATTTTCCTTTCTCTTAAAGATTGTTTCTTTCATAGGAAGAATGGGGGAAGCCATATGCAAGGTCTGGGGTGGCTGTTCCTTCCTATGGAGCACAGGGGAGCAGCCCTTGGACTGCAACATGGGAGGGCAGAGGGGAGTTGGGAAAACACAGCAAGGACTTGAAGCCTCAGTCCTCAGCCTTGGCCACCCTGGGGAGCAGGCACCTGTGCAGAGGTTGCTGCAGCTCAGGAGATCTGGGGTTTTGTTGAAATGAAAGTGGACAGTAAGGACTCACCCTGCAAGGACACAAGGAGAGCGTGCACAACCTTTGCCTTTCTTTCTGCTGGACTTGGTCACTGGATGTTGCTCAGTACTGTCTGTCTTTCTCAGTTTGAAACACTTTTTGGTCCTTCTTGGAAAATTCACTTTATGGAAGAGACTCAGGCAAATCCATCGCAGAGCCCAGTGTTCTGGGTCTTGCTGGGGTGGAGTTGACAGCATCTAGCTGACTTAGATTTCCACCGTGACATGTAGCAAACCAGAAGAGAGAGTAACATCTGCACTGGAGACACATTTTCTTGCTTAAAACATAGCTAATGCTGCAACAAAGCAAAAGCCTTGCATGCAATAATAATACTTTCTAAAAGGCTAAAACAAGTGGATGAGGTCACAATTTTCTTTCCCCCCTTTTTGAGTGTTTCTAAAGAATATTTTTTTTTTTTGTGGGGATAGTTGTGGAGGGGGGATACCACTTGTTTTCACTTCATAACCCTGGTTGTAGCTGTTATGCAAGGCAAGGCAACTGGTGAATCAGTGCTATGAGAGGAGGAGAATTTTCATACCTGATGGGTTTAAAGTTATTGGGGGACTTAAGTAATCTTTTTAAATTTTAATTAATTAATTTTTTAGTGAGTGTCAATGGCTGGCTAATGCTTTGGACAAAGGGTGCTTTTGTTAGATACATTTTCTTGGAAATAAAAACATACCAGTGTGAAATATGTTTTAAGACATTGACACACTGCCCCTTGAGCAACATCATTTGTGTAGGCAGATTGCTGACCCCCTGCCACCCTACCCCTTTGCTGACATCTTGCTGCCCACAGTATCCATGTGAGGTATGATCCTCTTAAACTGCACTGCCATTGCTGGAGCCAAGGGGTGGCACAAATCTCACCCACATCCAAAAGGCATTTACGTGGCTGATTGTTGCTGCCCAGTGACCCAGAGAGCAAGCGTCCCTGGATGTCCACCAGAGCCATGATGCTGTGTTTGCTATTGGTGATGGGATGAGTCACCCTATGGGCACCCCGTTGCTCCTCTTTCCTACTGCCTTAACAAAGTTTTATTTCATTTCATGTTGTCAGATTCCACCGCTGTTCAGACACACAGCAAATAATCTGGAAAAAAAGAACTGGGCAGTGTATTTGGAATCAGGAACACAGGGAAATGTACCCATCTCCTCTCCCCGTTTGATCTCCAGCTGCAATGACTTGATTTTCTCAGTGCTGGAGAGCTGTAACCCCTCTCTCATTCTCTTCCTAAATGGTAGCAGTAGAAAAAACAGAAGGACTGGCACAGATTTGCTCCATTTGATACCCTTCTTCACCTGCTGGCAGCAGTGCTCCTCATACTAGCCCTGTGAAGAGAAAGAAGGAACCTTCAGAGACCAGCTTCAGCCATACTTTTCAAAAGCCTGGTTTATATTTAAAATCTTTACTTTCTTAACTTACAGAGGAGTCCTTGTTGATGTCTGTGAGTTTTCGTATCATTATAACTGATTTAACTCTGTTTTGTTCATCTCCTTTTCATTCCCAGTGGAGTTTTTATACTGTGATTTGGCTTCCATGAAGTCTATACGGCAATTTGTGCAGCAGTTTAGAGCAAAGAATTGTCCACTCCATGTCCTGGTGAATAATGGTGAGTTCTGGTTTTTTTTTTCTTCTCAGATCTGCAAGGGGAAGGTGTGACAAATGGGGCTCTTGTCTATCACTTCGCATTTCAAATTGATTATTTGAACCATATGGCAAGTTGCAATATGCTGCAGTAACAGGGATGTCTTTCCAGGACTTCAATTGCATGTCTTGGAGAGATTGTCAGCTGAGCAGACTGAACACTTCATTGCCATCCCTGCTCATGATGTTATTGCAAGTCTTGTTCCTTTGCTGTGTTTCTTAGCTCTTTAGCAGTAAAAATCATGCAACTGCACATGAATCTGAGCATCCCTAATAAATAAAAAAAAATCATTTGAAAAAAGAAAGGAAAGCTGCATTTTATGTCTATAGAAAACCTGTCCTTTCACCTTTATTTACTTTCTCTCCTCTTATATTTTCCCTGCGTTAACTCATGCAGTGACTGTGGCTGCCTGGTGAGCTCAGTTGGAGGGTTAATCCATTTTAGATATAATCTAGCAAATTATCCAGCAACCTCAGAGCAGTCACTGCTTAGATCAAGGTGCTGTTGGAAAGTTGTCCATAAAGCTGTGTCCTAAGTGGTCAGGGAACAAATTAAAAGGACAACATTTATCTTGCATTCACACAATTATCAAATGAATCTCATTACTGTTAGTGATTTAAACTTTTGTTATTCACATACCTGCCATCTAATTGTTTTATAGCCACAGTATTTTTGGAAGCCAGCCTGTACAATAGTTTTCTTCCAAAAACCCTGCATGCTCTGCATGTACTTACCTAAAGGGGAAATTTTGCCTGGCTATTAAACGAGGGGAAAAACCCACCAGCAATAATTTAGGCTTCTTTTAGAAGTTTTCTGCTGTTACATGGTGCTGTTCTTGTTTTCCCAATTATTTGCATGTATTTTTATTAAGAACATTTTCTGTTTTCCTATGCACCTTTCAGTTCTAGTGATGGCTGTAAATAAATGGGTTTGTTACATTTGTTTTTGCCTTAAAGAGCTCTCACTAACACAAGCAAATATGGCAATAAAAATTCAAGAGTATTTTATTCTTGATTGATACGAAACATTCATTAAATGTTCAATTAAATGTTCATTTTTATTTGATTAGTCAAAAAAGCTTACCTGTATTATTTTAATTGTGCAGTAATTAAAAGTAATGGATATTTACACCTGGTTACAAAATCTTTCCAGGTTTATAGGCTTACTTTAAAAGATACAAACTGTTACACAGATGACAACAATATTATTTGTGGAAAAAGAGTGTTTGAGATCTATGCACTTGCCATGAATCATCTGCTCTCCACCAGGTGTCTGCATGAGCAAAGCCATCACTGTGCAGCAGAGGCCTGGGGGAGGAATGATGGGGCTGAAGCAATAGCACAGCAGGGAAGCCCTCTTGAATAAAGGGTTTTGCTCTGCCCTAGCTTTTGCTGAAGAAAAGATGGATGGAAATTGCAGTTAAATATTTATTCTTAAACAAGAAACAAAGTTATATGAAAACAGATCTCTTAATGTGCCTAATGTAATCACAGAATGATAGAATGGTTTGGGTTGGAAGGTACCTTAAAGATCATCTAGTTCCAACCCCCTCTGACATGAGCAGGATCACCTCCCACTTGTCCAGGTTGCTCCAAGCCCCATCCAACCTGGCCTTGAACACTTCCAGGGAGAGGATATCCACAACTTCCCTGGGCAACCTGTTCCAGTGTCTCACAACCCTCATGATATGAGACCATAGAGTCTAGGCCCAGAGCTTATTTTAAGAAAGAAGCTTGAGACTAATCTTTGCCTAAATCAGTCTATAGTTCATGACTTGTAAAAAGGACTTTTGATTTCATTTATGCTTGGTTACTAAGTACAGTTGACTAGAGAAGAGTTTTGTTTGAGAAGGTCCCATTAGAACCTACAATGAAATGGTCCAACTCTGCTTTTTGCTGAATCTTTAACGGGATCACAGAAGGGTTCATGTCCAAAGCTGCCCTAAATACGATTAGGATTATCTCCAACCATTAGCAGGCAAGTCACCAGCCTCCACTTCTAAAATATCTTTCTCATGTGGTTTGTTTTGTTTGGGTTTGGTTTTTTTTTGCTTGTTTGGGGTTTTTTTTGCTTGTTTTGGTTTGTTTTTTTTGTTTTTTCCAAATAATCTGTAGCATTTCGTTTATTACTAGTTTTGTAGTGAAAGCCCAAGTGATTTCTTGGTACACAAGAGAAAAATGAACATAAATAATGGAAAAGAAATGGCCTAATGCAGACACATTTAACAGCTTCTCTTGTCTTTGGATCAGCATTGAGTACATCCAAGAGAAATGCTGAAGTGTGAGCTGACTGTTAGGCTTTTCTTTTTCCCCTCCTCCTTCCTTTTTTTGTAATTTTTTTGCACTGTAATGCAATACACTAAGCAGGAAGATTCAGTCCATCATGGACTGCAGGGCTGGAGGCACCACTCGCTCAAAAGCCTCAATGCAGTATCCAGCCCCAGTGCCTTCACTACATGATCCCCTGGACACAACTTTGGTTCCTGGAGGAGGACATTGCTTGCAATATTTAAATGTCTTATGGGAATGAGTTGTTGGGCACATTGTCAATGAGCTTGCATGCTTTCTGTAAGAAAACTCTATTGTCAATAGGAAGATATTTTGCCTGGCTATTAGATGTCTTGCAGGACACCAACATGGATGATTTTCCTAGTTCTCCTCAGTATCTATAATAGTAGGTTTCCGAGTATCACCTAGTTCTTTATTATTTCTTACAGACCTTGAGGCTCTAGCATTCTTGACATGAAGAAGTACTTTTATTTTT